ACACAAACTAGGCACATTTAAAAGAAGAAAATACAAAATTGCAGATTTCTATCATTTTCCATTTTTTTTTGTATTGTAAAGTCTCATTATTGTTTCCTTTGCTTTCAGCCTGCTTCCCCACGCCTCCACCTGTCTGCAGGTCAGTCGTCTGCATTCATTCTGATGTGTTTACCTCTTGTAAATGTCGGCATGTTTCTCTGTGCCGTGCTGAACGAGAGCACGCTCGGGTTTGTTTAATGACGCCAGTTGCCATGGAAACAGCCTCCTGCTTTAGAGGGAGTTTGGAGAGAGGAAGGGAGTGGCTGCTTGGCTCGTTGGGGGGAAGCGGGCTCACCGTGTCAGTATGGGTCTGCACGGGTCATTTAATGCGTGCAGAATGAAACATAAAAACCAATGTGGTTTATGTTGTGTCTAATTTATTACTTTCTCCCTTTTTTTTTTTCCTGGGGCTATAACAGCAGTATAGGAGAGAAACATGCCGATGGCTGTGAGTGAAATGAACGTGCAGCAAAAGGCCGAATGTATAATGCATGAGTTTTACTCCTTCAGCAAGAGAAGCATTTAGAAATAGTTAAAATTAACAGCCTGAATTTGCAGCAGAATTTTGCCCTAAGCTCTTGCATATTCTAATTATTATTTGAAAAGGAACACACCTAATTTGAGTTTGAATTTTACACCTCAGTTAAGAAAAATAGCCCCAAACTTCAACCCTGGAAAGCTGAAGAGCAGAGTGTGGAGAACCAAGAAACTGAGCTTTAATTATATCGAACTCATGTCTGTTATTTGATACGATGTGAGAATAAATCAGCTTCACAGCCTGTTTCTTTTCTGTATCACAACATGCAAAAAAATCAAACTAAATTTTAAAAAGCAGCATGCTTCCTGCAATTACCTCTCCTCTGATTCATTCTTTTGTGCTTGATGTAATATTTTTCGAGTTAAACATGCAACAGCTCAGGCTTCTGTGAGACGCCCAGATTCTATTAAAATTTGAACGCTTGTTGAGTCGCAGCCAGAGGCTCCTTTGGTGCTTCGTTATGCCATCTGCGTTTGTACTGTTGTCTCACGCTCCTCTGCTCCCAGCCAGCAGTGCTGCTTCAGCTCTAACAGTCCGCTGTCTGCACAAACTCATTCCAAAGTATCTGTTTACCTTGCACAAACGATATCCCTGCAGCGGATTTGCACACAACATGACATCTCTCCACGCTTCATCACTCTTCCAGGCTGTCATTGTGGACTCTGTTCATCACCAATCCTGTGGATGTGTCAGCCAAAGCTGAAAATGCATCCAAATGCTGAGCTTCTAAATTACACATGATTTCAAGTCAATGGATCAGGGAAATCTATGTCTGGTGGGAATAAAGACCCCTTTTTCATCATTATGCTTCATTCTATCTCCATTCTCCCACTGTTAGTTCAATCTCTAGCGTTATGCTGTCTCTCTGATTTTTCTCATAGTAGTTTCACCTCGTCTGTTCCTGTTTGGCTGCGAATCCATCCTGAAGAGAAATATCAGCTGTGTTGCTGCCATCAACACCTTTGTTTATAGATGTTTTAGATAAACCTGTTTTTTAGTTGCTTTTTGTATCTCCGTTTCTGTCTCCTTGAACCCCAGTCGGCCTCTGCAGATGGCCGCTCACATTGAGCCTGGTTCTGCTGGAGGTTTCTTCCTGTTAAAAGGGAGTTTTTCCTCTCCACTGTCGCTACAAGCATGCTCAGTGTGAGGGATTGCTGAAAAGTCAATGAGTCGATGCAATCAACTGGTTTTCCTTAGATAGAAAACTTTGAATCAGTGTGACTGTATGATCTGGTGAACTGTAAAGTGCTTTGAGATGACGTGTTGTGAATTGGCACTATAGAAATAAACTGAACTGAATTGAAATCTTTTGCTTGAAATTTTTGAAATATTGACCTTTCAGCTCCAAAGACATGTCCCTTTTTCCTGCATGCATATTCTTGTTTTACTCAGATGCAATTAACTCTCTTACACTGCAAAAACATTCTACAAATGAGTAAAAATGTCTTAAAATAAGTGTATTCACCTTTAATTTTTACCCTTGAAATAAGATAATTAGATATTATGCACTTGAAATAAGAGACTTAAGCTGTTTTTTCTTATTTTAAATGTTAATGGTCTTCTTCCATTGGCAAAGTGTCTCACTTACCTGCTCTATTTAAGAAAAAATCCACTTATTTTAAGAAATAATTACTAACTTAGATTAACATTTTTTGCAGTGTAGTTTAGCTAAAGTGAAGAATTTTATTGAAATAAATGTTGGGAACCCAAAATAATCATCTTTTTAAACTTCCAAACTGTTTTTCCATCTTTATACATGCTATATAGGACATTAACCACTTGAACATCCCGTCTTCCGTTAAACGATCTACCTCTGGGCAGCACAATCGAACTGGATCTCTGTCCTTAGATTCGTTTTTCCTTGAATAACCAGGGCTCCCTTTCAGATAGTGATTTATCTCCACCTTTGGAGTATATCTCATGCTTATTTATTAATGCATTCATTAAATTTATACAACATTTACCCTAACTTATGCAGCTTAATTTATAGGTTGTGATGTAGTCAGTATTACTGATTAGAAGATGTGTGTAAGTTTGGTCAAGCAGTGATGCTGGTTGGTTTGTGAACATTAAACACACGATTATTCCAGGAGATGACTCTGGTGGATTGTTTTCTTGCCTGAACCCAGTCATTAGTTTTGACTTCTCTTAAAAAAAGGTCACCGCTAAGAACCGTTCTGCCATCCTCTGGGTTTATGATCCATCTGCACGCACCATCTTTCTCCTTGGCCTTCACCTACAACATTAGTGAGCCCTCCCAAAGCTTTTTTTATTCCCTTCTTATGAAGCACCAATATTAATTATTTTGAAGGTTAAGCTATAAGAGAAAAAAGTGCTTTAAAAATGAGTTTGGCCTTATTCTCTCCTCATTTATTTGCATGTTTCTGCTCCCTTTTCAACTCATTAGCCTGCCTTTCCTTGGACTCTTGCTCCTCTCTCACTCTTGGCATTGCCTCTGGCACCAGATGCAGCCCAGTCCATCGTGCAACAGAGGCCCAGCTGAGGCCTGTGGGCCCCACAGATACTAAAAGTGTTGCACTACCTTAATGTGGGAGCTAAAATATTTTTATACGTTCTGTAAGATGGGGACCTATTTTGAGCCAGCGGCTACATCATCAAGTTGCCGAGCAGGAACATTTGTGTGGCAACGCGCAGCCAGATGAGCTTACTCACAAGTAGGCTGAGGTCTCTGTCGGCAGGTGGTGGGGAGGCTGTAACCGTGGCAACGCCTCCCTTCACTTTATCCCAGTTTAACAACCCATCCATCCTTCTGGCTCTGTGGATCCGTCTACTTTTGTTCCGTTTGCTGCTATTGCAGCATCATAATCACAGTGAAGCTTCATTATTCTAATTATCAGTATCATTGTCACTGAATGACTGCTTCATGCAGCAATTAGGAGCCCAGCTAATGAGATCACAAGCTTATATCTCCTTTTAGTATCATTAAAAGGAGATGCATATAAAGCAAAAACTGGTTTGGATCAGTTTCCTCTTTTTAAAACTCCTAACCAGCTTAATTTATCGCATACATGTTGCTTTGTGATAGTAAACATTATGCTACTTTTGATTTAGATTTTTATGCAGTTGTTTTATTTATGTTTATTCAAATATCTGTAATTATTATGTTACCATTACATCTAAAAAAAAAAATATATATATATATAATTTTTATGATTTAACCGTGCAAAGTCCTGCATGGGGTTAATATTTTGAACTGAAAGGTTTATTAATGTAACATTTAGTTAACAACACACACCACGCCATATTTGGGACATTCTGCTGTTTTCTGCTAAAGAGGAAAACATCCATTGAGGTGTGACTTTCGCTTATAGCGCCGTGCCTAATGACTCATGCCAGCTGTATTTACACATCTTATCATGTTTTAAGGAGAGTAAATACACTAGAAAAAAATCAAAATCTAGATAAGTCATTTTTTCTTAAAATAAGTGCATTTCTTCTTAAATTGAGGAGATTAAAGAGGCATTTTGCCAATGGAACAAGACAATTTAGATTTAAAATAAGAAAACACAACTGCATCTTCTTATTTCAAGTGCATTTCATCTAATTATCGTATTTTAAGGGTAAAAATACTCATTCCATTTGCATATTATAAAATGTACCTATTCAAATCAAGGGTAAATACACTTAATTTAAGAAATGTTTACTTATTTCTAGATCATTTTTGCAGTGTAGCATGTGAATGGTTTTATGTGTTAGACTAAATATGTGAGGAGGAAGGCAAACAATTGTAAAGGTTTTTTCTCTTTTTACAAATATATTTTTGAAAGTGCATCATGCATATCATTCTTTATGGTAAAACACAGGTCAGCAAACACATCACTTGGGTCAGGATGAGGAGCAATGGGGAAACTATGGAGGAAAGTCTTATGAGGAAAAAAACACCAGAAGTTCTGTTTTCCAAACACATGAAAGGGGAAGGAAGTTTTAGTGCACTGGTCCGATGAGAATATAAATTTGCTCCTTTTTCCCTACATGCAAAACAACTGTTTAGAGTAAAACTAACACTGACCAGCCCCTTGAACACAAATTGGATGATGCAAGCATCAAGCTTTTTGCTTTTCTCTCCAGTGACAGGGAAGCTGGTCAGAGATAAAGTCAGGGCAATCCTGGAAGAAAACCTTGTATGGGCTGCAAATCCTTGAGCAACGGTTAGGGTAAGGATTGATTCAGAGACAGATTACAAATGCAAACCACACTTTCTAGATTTCACAATAAAGAATGCATGCACTTCTTGAAGATCTGTGATCTTTGTGTTGATCTGTAATATAAAATCTCAATAAAATGCTTTGAAGTTAGTAGTTATAATGAGGCATCTTAAGGAGAGTTGAATGGATGTGAATACTTGTGCAAGGCACTGTATTTAGCAGCACTTAGTGTGGGGTCAGAAGAGGAGAGCGCTCACCTGGAACATCACCCTGTATTGCTCCTCGGGCTTTTGAACCACACACATGTTGCACCCCATGATGACTGTTGGCAGGGAATGAAGGACTCTGCTGGTCCACCAACTGAAGATGGGTTGTTAAGGCAGTATTCTTTGTCTGTGGCAGTGGGAGAGCCCCACCCTCATTCACAGGGGGCTGTGGTGTGTATCAACAGTCCTCCTCAGAGTGACTTGCAGCTCATTCGCGGCTGGGAAGGGCACAGTTTAATTGGCTGCGTCACCGATCCGCTTTTTTGTTGTTGCTCACAGCTCAAATGTTAAAAATCCTCTGTTGATCTTGTCTTCAGATATTTGCAATTAAATGTTAAAAGGTACTGAAGTTTGTGTGCTTGTTGGCCAATCTCTCCTTGCACTCCTTTGCCCTGCAGGTTTGTGCTTCACTAATCAATCAGGCACCAATTTCAGACATATCTGTGCTTCACCCAGAGAGCGGCGATGGTGCAGAACGCTTGCTGTAACCATCTACTCTGGGTCATGGAGGTCTACATCTGCAGCATTGCCAGTTAATCCCTAAAGACCCCTTCTGTGGCTGAACTCCCCCACTCGGGCAGTGCTACACGCTCAAACAATGAGAGCATCTAACAACTTGCCTCTGGTGGCTTTTATTCCTCCAGACCACATTGTCATTCTTTCCTGCTTCGCTCTGTGCTTTCCAGGTTTGCCGAGTGTGGCTGCTGAGATAACGCGCCTCTGCTTAAAGCCCCGTCAGCAAACTCTTCTGATCTGGTCATCTACTTGAGGATCAGTGCATGGTTTGAGGTTTCTTCCTAATGCAGCTGCGCTGAAACTCATTTAGAGCACAGGTGGGATTGAAAGCTTTTTGTCAGGTTGTGCCAATGACACAGTTAACCAGAAGCTATAGGTCTGCGCTGTACACTGAAGATAAGGTAAATAAGCAGAAATTTGCAGATTTTTCAAGATGGGTGAAAACAAACCATCATTTTAGCTGCAAGCTTTTTTACTTATAAACACACACCACTATAGAACCTCAAAACGATCCAAATAAATGAAGCATAACTGCACATTTCTGCAGTGATTCTCATCAATCTGATCTTATCTTCCATTAGACTGTGGCATACTCAGCACTCACTCTGCTTCAGGGTCAGACTGGTGATGGATTATGTTTAGATTAGTAACCTCTTCAGCAGTAATCAGACAAGATTCCTGGATGTTGACATAAATCAATAAAAAAAGCTCATAGATCACTTCAATTTGCTGGTGAATTAAAAAGAGGGTTTTTCTTTAAATTGTGCAAACAATCCTCAATATCGTTAGTCGTCCTTAAGACCTCACTTAACCCTGTTTGCAAGGGAAGATCTAAATCTTAATGTTAGCAGGTCTCCTGTTTCCTCAGTGTCATCATTTCAGTAAAACCTTTATCTTTCTTTTTAATCCAACTATGAGGTCGCACAAGCTAATCCTCATTCAAAGCCCCACAGTACCTTTTTGCATAAAGCCTGTAATCCTCCAAACTCCCTCTCCTCACACTGTCTGAACACTAAAAGAAAAGCTATCCTTGCCCAATTAGAAGCGTGATAAGTGCCCGAAACAACCCTGATAGTCAAACCCTGGAGAGCGGGCTACGTTGAGGTGCCAGACGAACTCAGCAAGCAGGTTTGCTCCACCTGTCACCCTCATTATTCATGGCTATCTGCATGTGTCAGACCTACATGACTCTCAGGATGATGCTCTGCATTAAATGCCTTCAGGATAATAAAAAAAGTCATTACATGATGAATGCTGCTTTCATGCATTTAAGGAAAGGAGTCATCAGGAGGTAAAAATGCAAATGGAAAAGTTAGTCCATCATCAGTCTGCAGCAGAAAAATACAAAACAAAAAACAATCCAACGTGTCCAGCTATTCCTTCTCTTCTGTTCTGGTGAAACTGACAGGAGAATTCTCTTTAAAGTGTCATTTTATATTAAAAATAGAAGTAAAAGCGCAGAGAATATTCCAGGTGGTTGCAGTGGTGAACAGAGCTTGTCTCTGGTCAGTGATAAATGCCCATCAGCAGCCCCACAACATCAAAGGAAGCTCTAACGGCTGATTGGAGGAGACTTCTTCTCTTCTCCCCCAGGAGATGCCGGTAAACGTATCCCCTCTGCAGCAGGGGCGAGAAACACAAAAGGCACTTGTTTCCCGGTGGTGACAGAAGGATCAGATCAGGATTGCCAAAACTAAACCTGAATCTTCAGGATTCTGCACCTAATAACTCCTCTAGTTTTCCGTCTCTTTGCCCCTCCACACCCTCCGTTTCTCCTGATTCAGGGCTGGGCTGCTGCAATCTCTTCCAGTCCCCCCCATAATTTTTACCCACACCTCATTTGCTCGCCTCTCGCTCCTCCTCGCTCTCTCCAGCCTCCGTCTCTGCTCGTCTGCAGACGAGGGAGAGAGCAAGCACTGGAAAGCCTGCGTGCTCAATCTGTGCAGGACAGAGCGAGATAACAAGCAAAGCTGCATGAAATATGAGGGTTTCCATGTGCTGCGCCATCAAGACACATACAAGCAGGGTTCAGCTACCCATTCAGGGCATTAATGCAATTCATTCTGCTTGGGTTTTTATCCTAAAAGATGAAATAAATGGGTTTTCTTTCAGCACAAACGCAGGCATCTGGTTCTGCATTTAGATGAGGCTTTTCTCTGAAACAAAAAATACAAAAGACTGAAAAATAGAAGAAAAAACAAGATGATAACAGGTGTGACAGGATACACTGCAAGATGTGGAAAATAGCCAAGAGAGGAAATGCAAATGAGAAAGCATTGGCATAGCAGGGAACAATGGTTCCCTGCAGTAATCAAAATGACCTGCTGAAGGGGTGGGGGGTACATGGACATATTCTGAATAACTGCCTGGGACATCTTTATTGAGTGAAAAGTCCCCTTTTATCAAATTTGAGGTTCTGCACTCAGTGATTTAGAGGCAGAGGCTTTTGCCAAACACCAGGAAAGGAAGCCTGGTCCATGAGGGAGAGAGGAGAAAGACGCCCTCTCTGCTCCATCAGACAGTCATTCATCAGCACGACCCATATAAAGAGCTACCTATTGTAGTGTCTCTTTTTCTCTTGCTTCATTGGTCTCTCTTGCACACATACAAACACAAACAGACACACATACAATCTCCCAGGTATTGGGATATTGTCTATGATCCAGACTGAAACAGGATTTCATGGTGGCTCTGTGTGGCTCAACAGGCTTACATGTATTCATGCCAAATCCCTTTTCTTATTGGATAAAAGCAGGTCAAATTACAGTGGATGGTGATCAGAAATATAAAACAATGTAAATAATAATAATAATACTACTTCAGCGATACTTTCAAGGTGTTGCTTTATTGTATGTCTTGTACCATGTCTTTCGGTTGTGCTGTTCTTTTTGCATCTCTTTGCAGGTGATGAAGCAGACTGAAAATGTTTTGTCATTGTCTCCTTTCTATCTCCTCTTTCTTTCATCTTTTCTCTTTTTTTCTCCTTTTTTCCTTATTCTTCTTCTGTTTTTCTGCTCTATTTACATTGCAGTGTCCATATAAACTATAAAACTCCCTGCATAATTATAATAAAGCAATTTATATGCATGAAACAAGTGGAGCAATATGGCAATTGCCATACTGCTACACTTTTGATAGTAAAATCTGTTGGGCTCTTTTTGGTATCAAGACAATTATTCTTATTGCCACATTGCCAGACAGGACACTGTTAAAAAAAAAACACAAAAAAAAACAATGTAAATTTAGGTATTTATAGATCCACAAAATTTGGCATTGATGTTGCACAATGTGTACAGGTCTATACTAATGCAATATATCAATTTTTGGTAGAAGGGGATTCTAAGCTGAAACCATTTTGCTCCTGTGCAACAGCCAATGAAAAACATTAATACAAATTTACAATAAACTACTACTAATAGCACTATAGAACAGGGTTTCCCTGGCTAAGGACCCCAAACTGATGGCGAGATGGGAGCCGGGACCCCCTAATTATGCGTATTGTATGAAATTGTGTTATTTCAAGTTGGTCACTCTATTAAAAATGGTTTCATGTAACGAAAATAGTTTCAACCAGGGATTATTAAAGTATTTCTGATTGTAATTCTTCATTGATGGGACAGGTGTTGTGAATGAAACGGTGCCCAGCTTAAAAGAGCTCCAGTGTATCGCTGAATGTGTGCATTGATGACTGAAATCTTCTTCCTCAATTTATCTGTTTACTGCAGTGTGTTGAATTCATGTAAATGTGTATTTAAAGACATTTCAAATGCAGGGGGACTATAAAAAAAGAAAAAAAAAAGTCTAATCAACCAAACCTTTCGCGACCCCCATGCAGTACCCCTATGGACCCCCTAGGGGTCGCGGACCCCCTGTTGAAGACCTCTGCTATAGAAGCAATACTAGTACTATATATAATAAAGATACTTCTCCATCAAGGCCAATCAATCCACTCTCTCTAATGCATGACTTCCCTCTATTATTCATTGCAGATACTTTATCCTTTTTTTTTTACTCCAGTGTTACAATGCTAAAAGCACTCATATTAAGATTACACATATGTGCAAAGACATTTTTCTGCCTGTCATCTCTACTTTGTTCCATCCAAAAGGCCATAGGATGCTGGTACCGTGCTTTAAAATATCAAGAGTACAAAGAGCATCACATTTGAGGAGGCAGGTTCTTTTTAGGACGTTTCTCAGCCAAATGTCATGCTTTTTTTTTCACCACGACCTCCTTATCCTCTACTGAATAGAGGTCGTGTAATCAGGATTTCAATGCCCTTTTAATTTCTGAAGTGAGTTTCACCCTTGTCCCAATGTTGCTACCCCCTTGACCTCTTAACCTTTCATGGATAGATGGTAGGAATGCAGATGGAAAGCTAAAACCTTCCTAAGTGTGTCTGTAGTTGGCAAACTGTCATCAGATTTCATCTTGCATTGTATGGATGGATGGATGGATGGAGCTTTAAAACAATGAGACATGAATGAAATGGGGATAAAAGTATTTTTTAAATAACCTAGTTTAATGAATGCCATTACCACCTGAGGACGCTAACATCTCGGGCTTTATTCCATGTTCTTTCACCTCACTTTTTAAATTCAATTCAATTCAATTCAGTTTATTTCTATAGCGCCAATTCACAACACA